TATCACTGCATTCTGCTCTTTTGCTCGGGAGCTACAAAGAAGACGTCTGCTACCCGGCCATGGTTGGCTCCTTCCCCCTTCAAAATTCCATTGGCTTTTTGCCGTTCATGTTGGCTTGAACATTGTTGGCTGATACTTGTTGTGTATGAGGACTCCAAGATCTTTTTTACACATACTGCTGTGGAGCCAGGCATCCCCCATTCTGTATCCTTGCATTTCATTTTTTTTTTTTGTTTGCCTAAGTGAAGTATCTTGCATTTGTATTGTCGAAGGCTTTCATGGCTGGAATCACTGGGTTGTTGTAGGTCTTTTCGGGCTATATGGGCATGTTCTAGAGGCATTCTTGCATTTGTCCCTTTTGAACTTCATTTTGTTAGTTTTGGCCCATCTCTCTAATCTGTTAGGATCATTCTGCTGAAATCCAGATATGCAACATCCACGTCGTTCCCCGCATCTATCCAGCTTGTGTCTCTATTGAAAAAAAGACATCAGATTAGTCTGGCATGACTTATTTTTGATAAATCCATGTTGACTATTAGCGATGACAGCATTTGTTTCTAAGTGTTTGCAGACCACTTTCTTAACGACCCTTTCCAGAATCTTGCCTGGTATCGACGTGAGGCTGACCGGACGGTAATTGTTTGGGTCATCTTGTTTTCTCTCCTTGAAGATTGGGACCACATTTGCCCTCCTCTAATCTGCTGGGACTTCTCCCATTCTCCAAGAATTCTTGCCAAACATTCACTATGGCTTTCTGATCCTCGTTTGCAGATTGTGCTGAGGTCATCACTTGGATATCTTGAAAGTATATAGAGAACATTTTTTGTTTTGGTCTAGGGGTCCAATTCCATTTTAGGAAAGATCGGAATGCTTTTCACCCTAGGCCTGTCTGGTTGTTGTGTTTACTATTATTTATGCCCTTGTTTCCTCTCTAACAAGGTACTCTCAAAAGTACTTACAATAAAACCAGTACAGTGCAATTTGAAACCTAAAAATATACAAACATTGAAATAGAATTAAATATTAACAATATTAAAAATGAATAGTTAAAACCGATTCAGCACCTTAGTAGATGAAAAGTTGTGCAGGGGGCAGAATTCAGAGCTGAATGTGCCAGAATTTTTTTAGGTTGTTTGTATCTTCTAGCAGTTATTTTATAAAGATATATTTTAATGTCCAAGGCTGGAAAGATGACAACTGGGGGAATGGCAACCTTATACTTCCCTTTTGTGCCTTGCATTTTCTTTTGATTTTTAACTATTTTATAAAAGCACATATTGTTGCCTTGCATCATCTAAAGATTTGTGAAGGTTTTTACCACATTTTCTCACCCAGCTGTTTTAAGTTCAGAAAAATCTTTCTGTGAAGTAGAAAACAAACCTAACACTACTCCCAGTTTCCATCCTAGCTGATAAAAGGTTTCCTCTGGACTTAAACATGGAAAAATTGCCATCTAAATGCTCTAAACCTGGGCAAACTTCAGCCCTCCAGGTGTTTGTGACTTCAACTTCCAGAAATCACAGTCAGCTTACCGGCTGTTAGCAATTGTAGGAGTTGAAACCAAAATAGCTAGAGGGTCAAAGTTGGCCCAGGCCTGATCTAGAGATTATTTTTTCTTTCACAAGCCCCCATTTTGGTGACCAAACTTACAAATCTATGTTTTTTACATGCTGGTAATAGCTGATAAGGCAGAATAACATATGTGCTCTCCTGTTATTACTATATATGCATAGTAATAGGTTCTAGAGAGAGGTGCTGTTTACCTTTTCTGTTGTACAGTAGGACTAGAAAAGATAGAATCCCATTATTTTCCAGATTAAGTATTATTTAATTGTTTACTGTAGACACAATGCTGTAGACTGACACTGAAAGTCTGTTTCTCCAACACTCCTTCACCATCCTTCCAGTGCTGCCAAAACTTTCCAGCTGAACAGATGATGCGGGAGTCCAGTTGGGCAAAAAAGACTAGAAAGAAATGTCTTTATCAGAGACTTGGTTAACTTAGTTATTACTGCATTGACTTTGAACCTGTAGTTGACACTGCTAGTTTTAATGAAAAAGTAATTTCTGCACCAGCTGTTTCCCCAATTAAACATTTCCTCCACATTCTGTTTCATTTGCCTTTCAGATGCCTTTGCAAATGAAACGGGGAAGAAAGCTAGGCTGCAAAATGTTTTAATTCAACTCCGGAAATGTGTTGCTCATCCGTATTTGTTCAATGGTAAGAATGATGAATGGCAGGAATATTGTCAAGGCTCCTGTAGCATAGCAGTGTTACTGTTTGGCTGCACAAATGCCATGGCACCAATCCAGGTCTTGGCATGGCATAATCTCAAAGGCATTGAGGTGATGGACACTACAGTTTCTTGAACTTTATCAAACAGTAATAATAATAATAATAATAATAATAATAATAATAATAATAATTCTTACCCGCTTACAATATTGCTAAAACACATAATCAAAACACATCATCACTTAAAAACACTTCGTAAAATATATATATTTCGACTTTCTAGGTGGCAGGTGAGCTGGAGCTAAAGGTGGGTGTTCATCGCGACCCTGGCTCAAACTGCTAACCTTTCAATCAGCAGAGTTTTTTCTGCAACACAGCGGTTTAGCCTGCTGTGCTAAACCTGGCCCCTTCAAAGCAGATAATCTTGATTTTATATAGCAGTGAAGAAGGGGCCTTAATGAAAACCTTTTTCCATCCCAGGTGTTGAACCAGAACCCTTTGTCATTGGAGATCACCTCATCGAAGTCAGTGGAAAGCTGAACTTGTTAGATAACCTCCTTGCTTTCCTGTACAAAGGGTATGTTGTGCCTTATTGGGTTTTATTCTTTTTGAGGAAGAAAATCTGAATAATCAACACATCTCTGCTTTCCTTAAAATTTAAGACCTTTGTAGCATTTCAGTAGAAACAGTCCTATAGAAATAGTACGGAGAACGAGGAGATCTAGTGAAACATTAAAAATCCAGTGAATTTCTAGATCTTAGTGAGAAAGTGAGTACGTGTGTTTAAACCTTGTTTGCTGAAGAAACATTTTCTCTTTAGCTGGAATGTTGTAATAAATCTGGTAAGACTTAGTCCTTCCAGCTGTTTCCACAAATTACAAAGGACTGTAATGGAATTTAGGCATCAGAATGATGAAGGATAGTCATGAGACATGATGTGATTGGCCTTTATTAGTCAGACCGATAGATAGTTTGCAACTACAGTTCTCTTGGAGATGTATATCCTTTATCTTCAATTGGGTTGTCCTGATCTAAAGCCCCCTCTTCAGCTGTTACTTGCCCTGTTGAGAAATGGCCTATTGGTTCTCATATTGCTTGTGTATGCTTCTCCAGTTGGAGATATAGCAGCTAGACTTGTGCCTTTTTCCTCCGGCTTATTCAGACACCCGTAATAGCAAGGGGCTCCACCACCATGTTTTTTTTACAGAGCCAGACCATGTGGCTGCTGGTTGTGGCTCCCTCCTTCTGTTCCATTCAGGATAACGTGGCGCACAGAGAGGCTGATGCATTCTCACACGGGGGTTTCCTTGTGAGTCTTGCCTGTTGGGCCAATCAGAGTAGAAGAAACAGCCATGGTGTGTCTTACGCAAGGGGCGAGCTCTTCCATTGCTCAGTTGCATCCTAGTTCTAGAGCAGTGGTTCTCAACCTGTGGGTCCCGGGATGTTTTGGCCTACAACTCCCAGAAATCCTAGCCAGGTTAACAGCTGTTAGGATTTCCGGGAGTTAAAGGCCAAAACATCCAGTGGCCCACAAATTGTGAACTACTGTTCTAGAGAGAGGTGCTTCAGTCCTATTGCCTGGGTCCTGCTCACTCTCAGCTTTAGGTAGGTAGGTAGTTTTTCAGAGAATGAGGCTTTTGCTGGAATTCTTATAATTCTTAATAACAATAATCTTTTAAAAGTACGACTTCCATAACCTCTCTCTAGCATTTAATCTTTTTAATTTTCCTTTCTTTTTTGGATTCTTTATTTAATGGGACTAGGAGTTGGTGAGGGTGGGTGGGTGGTGTTTGTGGGTGTGCTATGCTTTTAGGGTGGCTCTGAGATTTGATTCACCCTTTAGCCTCTATTAAAGCCTTTAGCTTCTTCTCTTATCCCTTCTCCCTCCTGTCTTTTATGGAAGTCATACTTTTAAAAGGTTATTGTTATTAAGAATTATAAGAATTCCAGCAAAAGCCTTATTCTCTGAAAAACTACCTACCTACCTAAACTTACCACCAATACCTAGTAATTTCTGGATCTTACAGGAGTGTTTTTCTAATATGCTTCCTGCTTACTTGTGGATGGTGGGCTCCTGACCTCTTCCACTATGTTGTGAGAAGAAGAAATGCAAGTATTATGGAAGAAGTTGCTGTTGTTTTTTTTAATTATTAGTAAAGATAGTGTAATAGCGAGCTGTGTGTGGAAGTGCATCTTTGACATTTGGCAGGAAGGAATGCTGCCTTGCTGCTGCTTCTGGAGAAATTACAGGGTGGGGCCAGCAGGGGATACCTTTTTGGAATTTTTTGTTGTTGTTCATTCGTTCAGTCGTCTCCGACTCTTCGTGACCTCATGGACCAGCCCACGCCATAGCTCCCTGTCGGCCGTCACCACCCCCAGCTCCTTCAAGGTCAGTCCAGTCACTTCAAGGATGCCATCCATCCATCTTGCCCTTGGTCGGCCCCTCTTCCTTTTGCCTTCCACTTTCCCCAGCATAATTGTCTTCTCTAGGCTTTGCTGTCTCCTCATGATGTGGCCAAAGTACTTCAACTTTGTCTCTAGTATCCTTCCCTCCAATGAGCAGTCGGGCTTTATTCCCTGAAGTATGGACTGGTTGGATCTTCTCGCAGTCCAAGGTACTCTCAGAACTTTCCTCCATTTTTTAAGATTCTTTTATTTACAGAAAGAAAAAAAATCCTAAGAATCAGGGGAAGACCCAAATGCTATGAAACTTTGTGGGCCATCTTGGTGGCCATTTTCATTCTGATAGCCCTAAAAATGATGGGAAGGAGAGTCCATGAAGCTCCCCCCCCGCCCCCCCCTGTCAGGTTCCGCTGGATCTTAGAAATAAAGGTTCGCACTCACAAGTAATGTACTCGGATTTGGAGTTTATTTCAGTCCATACAGAACAAAGCCAAAGAGAGAACTGAGGTTTCCCGCCGAGAATCTCCAGATCCCCCCTCCTGGCTTCGCCCCCTCCTTCTCCCCCTTGCTTATCAAAGTTTAGACTAAGATTCCTTTTCCCACAGCTTCAAAGTGAATACTATGCCCAGATGGCCCTGCCACAAACCCATCTATCATTCTTGCCCCCTCTAGTGTCAGGAGGAAGGCTTCTTGGAATCTCGAACATGAAGGCACATCCTGACACCCCCATTGCTGCCAATTGGCTGTATCGAGCCACTTTTTCTGGTTGCTGATCAAACACGGCTATTCGGGAACCCACCTGTTTTCGGGAGGGGACGAAAAACAGATTCGTGGGCCCCCTGGAATCCGGAAAGCAGAAAGGGTTCGAGGTTCAGCCGAAATACACAAGCCTATGTGATAAAGGAACAATCTAAGTTGGCAGAAGTGCTGGGATAATGACTATTTGTGTACACATCTTCCCTACCGTGGATCTGTTTCAGCAGTGGGCAAAGTGTGGGCTGTTTTTTGACACACAAAGCACACAGCAAAATGATATTAACAAAAAACTATGCAATTTGATCTTCCTATTTAATGCTGAAATCTTAACAGCAAACTAAAACTAACGGCCAAATCACACCACCAAATGATCCAGAAAAACCGTGGATTAACAATTAGAAAATAACAACGATATATTGTAATGAATGAAAATAGAATAAGTAGTAGTCTAGAACTGACAGTTGTTTTATATATAACACCATATGAATGTTGGGGTAGGAGTGGAGGAGTATAGATCTGAGAATCAATGATGTAGCAAGACTACAATATTATGTTAAATGTTTTGAAACATCCATCAAAAAGGGCATAAAACGTGTGACTATTATGTGATGAAATATGGTACTTACCATTGAAACAGAAGAAGTCTTAGGCTTGTGAGCATTTCAAGGTCTGTAGCCAATTGATGCTGGTAGGTACCATATTTCTTCTGCCACTGTTGATTTTTGTGCCGCTCTACGGCATAAAGCTAATATAAAAGCTATAGTTCCCCAAGCTGATATAAAACTATGACATTCTACAATAAATTTAAATAACTTCATAATGAATGTCATTTCTATATTCACTATAGAGCTGAATTGAGATTTTAAAACATGCTCACAAAGTACAGCCCTCAGGCACTTGACCAGGTGGTGGCTTCTAGATGGTAACAATTGCCCATCTCTGATCTGTTTCTAAATCTGGTACAATCCTGGCTCACACCCTTTCTTTTGTATTTTAATTTTGTGGTGAGGAGGTTTCCACATACTTTAAGCTTTTGAGCAGATCTGGAGATCTTAAAGTATTTGGACTGTTAAGAGTAATAATTTAGCATAGTCACGACAAAAAGTGAGATCTGGTAGTGCCTCTGGTATGGGCAATATTCCAAAGTGCTGTGTGACTATTCCTGTGACGAAATGGGAGAACAGGTACACAGAAATGTGCTCGGTCTCCTTACGAAGCAACCATCTTTTGTCTTGATGATACAGCTCGTCTGTGTATTTAACAGCCATATTCCATAAATGCCAAGTTCAATGAGATTTTCTTCCAAATTAATATAAGTTATTCAAATGTTTCCTGGAGTTTGCTGTAAGTTACATTGAATAGTAGTCAAAGGCTTTAATTTATTTTTCATTCTAGTGGTCACCGTGTATTGCTGTTTTCCCAGATGACCCAAATGCTGGATATTCTGCAGGACTATATGGATTACAGAGGTAAATGCCCCAGATATTGAAGTGACTGGTTTATTGCCAAGAGTCCTGTTTTGACTGCAGAATTTTTAGACATTTAAGCCTTTGTATACCATATGTCTTAATTACCACCCTCTCTGTCTTCACATACTGACTTGGGCTTCAGTCCACAATCTGTATTCTAGTGTTGGTTTTGACTTTTAAACAAGTGAATAATGGTACTGAATATAGAATAATAGAATCATAGAGTTGGAAGATACCTTATGGGCCATCCAGTCCAACCCCCTGCTAAGAAACAAGACAATCACATTCAAAGCGTCCTCAACAGAATGCCATCCAGCCTCTGAAGCTCTTCCTCATGTTCAGGTGGAATCTACTTTTCTGCAGTTTGAAGCTATTGAATCGCATCCTAGTCTCCAGGGTAGCAGAAAACAAGCTTACTCCCTCCTCCTGTGACTTCCCCTCATATATTTATACATGGCTATCATGTTTCCCTTCAGTCTTCTCTTCTTCAGGCTAAATGTGCCCAGCTCTTTAAGCTGCTCCTCATAGGGCTTGTTCTTCAGATCCTTTATCAGTTTAGTTGCCCTCCTCTGGACACATTACAGATTATCAACATCTCCCTTCAGTTGTGGTGCCCAGAATTGGACACAGTGTTATTCCAAGTGTGGTCTGACCAAGGTTGAATAGAGGGGTAACATGACTCCCCTGCATCTAGATACTATACCCCTATTTATGCAGGCCAAAATTCCATTGGGATTTTTAGCTGCTGCATGACATTGTTGGCTCCTGTTTAACTTGTTGTGCATGAGGACTCTAAAGATCTTTTTCACACGTACTGCTGTTGAGCCAGGCATCCCCCATTTTGTATCTTTGCATTTTATTTTTTTGCCTGTGGAGTATCTTGCATTTGTCCCCGTTGAACTTCATTTTCTTAGTTTTGGCCCATCTCTCTAATCTGTTAAGATTGTTCTGAATTCTGCTCCTGTCTCCTGGGGTATTAGCTCTCCCTCCCAATTTGGTGTCGTCTGCAAACTTAATGATCATGACTTCCAACCCTTCATCTAAGTCATTAATAAAGATGTTGAACAGGACCGGGCCCAGGACGGAAACCTGCTTGTGGCACTTCGCTCGTCACTTCTTTCCAAGATGAAGAGGAAGCATTGGTGAGCACCCTCTGGGTTCGTCCATTTAACCAATTACAGATCCACCTCACCATAGTTTTGCCTAGCCCACATTGGACTAGTTTGTTTGCCAGAAGGTCATGGGGGACCTTGTTGAAGGCCTTACTGAAATCCAGGTACGCTACATCCATGGCATTCCCCGCATCTACCCAGCTTGTAACTCTATTGAAAAAAGAGATCAGATTAGTCTGGCATGACTTGTTTTTGATTAGCAATGACCGCATTTGTTTCTAAGTGTTTGCAGACCACTTCCTTAACAATCTTTTCCAGAATCTTGCCTGGTATCGACGTGAGGCTGATTGGACGGTAATTATTTGGGTCATCCTTTTTTCCCTTCTTGAAGATTGGGACCACATTGTCCCTCCTCCAGTCTGCTGGAACTTCTCCTGTTCTCCAAGAACTCTCAAAGATTATTGCCAATTGTTCCGAGATGACTTCCGCTAGTTCCTTCAAAACTCTTGGGTGTTGTTGATCTGGCCCTGGGGACTTGAACTCATTTAGAGCGGCCAGGTATTCCTGGATGACTTGTTTCCCAATTTGGGGTTGGATGTCCTCTAATCCCTCATCCACTCCATCTTGCTGAGGTTAAAGATGACTTTCTTTTTGTGAGAAGACCGAAGCAAAGAAAGCATTAAGACCGAAGCAAAGCATTAAGACCGAAGCAAAGAAAGCATTTTCCCTACCCCGTCAACACTGCCCCATCTTCTCCTCGAAGAGGCCCTATCGCCGCCTTGTTTTTCCTTTTTCTACTCACATAAGAAGCCCTTTTTATTGTTTTTTAATGTCCCTGGCAAGCCTGAGCTCGTTTTCTGCAATTGCGCCTTGAGTATTTCATTCTTGAGAAATTCCCACCCATCCGTAACTCCCTTGTCTTTTAGTATCTGTGTCCATGGAATGCTGCTCAGTGTTTCCTTCATTTTTTGGAAATCAGCTCTCCTAAAGTCCAAAATGCGGGTTTGACTTGTCTTAGTTTCGGCCTTCCTTTGTACCTCAAATTGCAGGCCACTTGCCCCTAAGGATCCGACCGCTTCAACCACGTCGATCAAGTCCTCTGCATTTGTTAGGATGAGATCAAGAGTAGCCAACCCCCTTGTTGCCTCTTCTACCTTCTGGAGCATGAACATGTCTGCAAGGCAAGCGAGGAATTTGTTGGACCTTGTACTCTTGGCCGAGTTTGTTTTCCAGCAAATATCGGGATAGTTGAAATCGCCCATGACTACTAAATCTCTGTGCTTGTTTTGTCAACTGTTGGCAGAAGACTTCATCAAGTTCTTCCTCCTGGCTTGGAGGTCTGTAGTAGATGCTTACAATGACATCTTTTTGAGTCCCAGTTCCCTTGATTCTTATCCAGATGCTTTTAAGCTGGTTTTTGACATATAAGGCTACTCCGCCTCCTCTTCCCTTTGTTCGGTTTCTGTGAAAGAGGTTATAGCCCTCAATGTCTACATTCCAGCAATAGGAGTCATCCCACCAGGTTTCAGTGATGCCTATGATAGGACTGTTGTTGTTGTGTGCTTTTAAGTCATTTCAGACTTAGGGTGACCCCGAGCAAGGGCCGGGTAAATGACCTTGGAGGGCCGTATCCGGCCCCCAGGCCTTAGTTTGAGGACCCCTGAGGTAAACCATGCTTATCTAAGAAAATAAAGTCATCGTTAAAATTGTCGTGTGGTGTACAGATTGGGGGACAAGAAGGGACAGTTAGGGTCATAGGCAAATGATCCTTGGCGTTGGTGTAATTGTCAAAGAACTGGTATTTTCAGTGACTGCATCATTCCATTCACTCTTTTCTTACTTTGTAAAGGTTACAGCTATGAGCGCTTGGATGGATCTGTCCGAGGTGAAGAAAGACACCTTGCCATTAAAAACTTTGGTCAGCAGCCCATTTTTGTCTTCCTCCTGAGCACGAGAGCAGGTGAGACAAAGCTTACAGGAGGGGAGCTGGAGTTTTTGTTGTTATTGGGAGTAGTACACAAAAATGAACACAAACTGAGCTGGGTACACATTCAAATATCCATCTGGTCTAGAAGTCATTGAATAAGCTTGTATTAAACACAAGACCAGATAAACCACAGTACCGTTTCCAGGATTTTCTTTGACATCTGAAGAGCAGAGAAACATTTTTGCTAATTGTATACATAGGTGTATATGCAAGCAGATGCACCAAATAGACAAAGATAGCTGGATATTCTAGTTCCTTGTGGTTTGGCTATTATCATGATTGTCTGCTTTTATCTCTTGGCTGAGATGCACAGGGATATCCCTGGACACAGTCTTTTGGGTGATCTACTCCTCTATGAAATAGCACTAGATTAATTTGAAGAAGGCCTCTCTTTAACTCTGGACAACAAACATTTTGGTGCCTCAGACTTTATCCAGACTTCTGGATATATTTACCTGCCGATTGAAAAAAATGGCCCGTTCCCCCCCCCCCCCCCAATTAGCTATAACTTTTGAGATACAGAACATATGCCATCTGCCAGTCACCATTTGCTTGCCCATAGAAAACCAGGGTTACCATATCTGAGGAACCAGAGGTGATGTGGTCTATCCAATACAATCAGTGTCCCAAATAACTCCAGGAACAGACCTAAAAAGCAAGACATTTGTTTTTGTTGACTCAGTCTGTCACAGAGAGATCCCAAACATTTTGTCCTTGCAAAGAAATTCCATGTGTACCCAAAGCCTGAGTCAAATGGTCCTTCTGTCCTCTTCAAGCTCTATCCTGTTCCTGTATGGCAGTGCAGAAAACCCATCAGTTGCTTTCTCTGCCAAAAAAGGGACAACCTATGTTCCACCATACCCTCCTGTAATCAGGGCATCTCTTCATAGGAAACCTTGCTTCCTTAGTATTCAGATATTTATTCACATGTGAGGCAGTTTGGTATGGTGTGAGTGTTGAACTGGATACTAAAAGACCAGAATTCAAATCCTTCCACAGGTACAAAAACGTAGAGGAGACCTTGAGGTAGTCACTCTCTCTCAGCCTCATAAGAAGACAAGAGGAAACTGCCTCTGAACAAATTCTGATGTATGGTAGGGTTAGCATAGGTCACAAATGACTTTGAGAGTACACAGTAACATTTTTTTAAAATTCACAGTAAGTTTCTAGGCATGGCTCAAGGCCTATGAGGCATCTCAGCCAAACTAGCAAGATGAAACATATGATAAATATTGTGGGAGCCTGTGTAGCATAGCAGAAAGAGTGCTTAGCTAAGACCAGAAAATAGTTTCAAATCCCAACTCAGATATAATGCTGCAGGATGATTCTAGCCATGTTTGAGGTAGGAGGCATTTTGTAGGTTAGAAGAAATGCTATATAGCAGGGATCCTCAAACTTTTTAAACAGAAGGCCAGGTCACAGTCCTTCAAACCTTTGGAGAGCCGGATTATAATTTGAAAAAGACATGAATGAATTCCTATGCACACTGCACATATCTTATTTGTAAGCAAAAAAACCACTTAAAAACAATACAATAATTAAAACGAAGAACAATTTTAACAAATATAAACTTATTAGTATTTCAATAGGAAGTGTGGGCTTGCTTTTGGCTGATGAGATAGGATTGTTGTTGTGTGCTTTCAAGTCGTTTCAGACTTAGGTTGACCCTGAGTGAGGGCTGGGTAAATGATGTTGGAGGGCCGTATCTGGCCCCCGGACCTTAGTTTGAGGATCCCTGCTATATAGCATTCCTTGGATAAAAAAATTAATGAACATGCAGGTGAAATGAATTTTTGGCCATGTCAGGAGCAACGTACAGGGTTAGTCAAAATGAATAGGCCAATAAGAAAATTAATTTTAGACGAATGTATGTTTACTGTAACCAAACCACAGCTACGTAGCGACAGATAAACTATCAAAGTTTTTTTTGAGCAACACACATGTACGTTAATGCCGCTAGGCGTCGCTAGGGGTCGCTGTTTTCAAAATGGCGGAATCAAGCAAAGAGAAGGCGTTTTGTGTGATGACATTTGCTAAAACAATGTCAGTAATTACGGTCCAGAGAGAATTTCAAGGGTTAGGGTTAGGGTTAGGGTTAGGGATAGGGTTAGGGTTAGGAGGGTTAGGGTTAGGGTTAGGGTTAGGACCTCAACGAACACCTTCCCAGACGTTGCTGCATTCGATGCCATTACGTCGGATGTGCTGCAACGGATGTGGAATGAACTGGACTATCGCTTGGACATCTGCCGTGTCACACGGGGCGCCCATATCGAACATCTCTGAAGGTGAGACAAAACTTTGATAGTTTATCTGTCGCTACGTAGCTGTAGTTTGGTTACAATAAACATACATTCGTCTAAAATTAATTTTCTTATTGGCCTATTCATTTTGACTAACCCTGTACTTTACACGTATGCTGCAGCATGCTTTTTGAAATCTGTCGTAGAGAATTTTTCAGGTTACAACTAGGAAAGCAAGTTGCATATGTCAATGAGATCCCTACAGTTTCAAACAGGCTAAGCTACCTGCATAGCAGTAGGTGAGGTATTTAAAAGGTCACTGAGTTTTTTAAAAAAAATGATACAATATTATCCTATGTAATGAACTTATATGTATTGGTTTACATTTCTGCCAGTCCCAAGTGTTTTGTTTGGCATGCTTCAAAAATGCAAATTATCATTCTACACATTGCTTTTCATGCAGTTGTCTGGACATTTTATTTTGATTTGTTCCAGGGTTGCAAAAGAGTTACAACACCTGTGTGAGCTTGGTTTTCAACTATGAGAATGTTTTTTTTTAAAAAAAATATATTATTTTATCATGGTTTAATAAACTATGAGAACGTTAATGGCACTTTCTTTTATTTCCCAGGTGGTGTTGGGATGAATTTAACTGCAGCAGACACAGTTATTTTTGTTGACAATGACTTTAACCCGCAAAATGACCTGCAAGCAATAGCAAGAGCTCACCGGCTTGGCCAGAATAAGTGCGTATGTATGTATGTATGTGTGTATTGTGTGTGTATATGACTATGAATACATGGCTTTCTTTCTCTTTAGCCAAGATCTGGTATTTTATGATCGGATCTTGGATCCATCGTGTAGCACAGCATAGAATCATAGAATTGGAAGAGACCTCATGGGCCATCCAATCCAACCCCCTGCCAAGAAGCAGGAAAATCTCATTTAAAGCACCCCCCGACAGATCCAGCCTCTGTTTAAAAGCCCCCAAAAACGAGCCTCCAACACACTCCGAGGCAGAGAGTTCCACTGCTGAACAGCTCTCACAGTTAGAAAGTTCTTCCTCATGTTCACGTGGAATCTCCTTTCCTGTAGTTTGAAACCATTGCTCTGCATCCTAGTCTCCAGAGCAGCAGAAAACAAGCCTGTTCTTTCCTCCCTATGACTTCCTCTCACATATTTATACATGGCCATCATATCTCCTCTCAGCCTTCTCTTCTTCAGGCTAAACATGCCCAACTCTTTAAGCCGCTCCTCGTACGGCTTGTTCTCCAGACCTTTGATCATTTCAGTCGTCCTCCTCTGGACACATCCCAGCTTTTCAACATCTCCCTTCAATTGTGGTGCCCAGAGTTGGATCCAGTATTCCAGGTGTGGTCTGACCAAGGCAGAATAGAGGGGTAGCATGACTCCCCTGGATCTAGACACTAAACTCCTATTTATGCAAAACGGTCCAAAAACCGTGCTCGGTTTTTATATATTGTTTGGTTTTTTGTTCTATGTTCTTCTCTTCCTTTTATTGTCTATTTTTTTTCTTTTTCACGCTCTTTTCTTTCTTCTTGTTATTCTTTTTCTGATTTATGACTTATAAACTAGACATGTGATTTTATCGTATATTTGTATACTTGAAAACTTAATAAAATTATTTTTAAAAAAAAACCCAAAAAACCATGCTCTGGTCCACAGCCAAAAATTGTGGGAAAATCTGGCTCATTGGCAACAATGGGGAGGGGGGCTTCCTGGGCTCCCCTTCCTGGCATTTTTAGGGCTATTGGGATGAAAATGGCCATACTTTGCGGACACATCTACCACTGTTAGTCCCCCCACCCCCAAGTTTCATAACTTTTGGGTCATCCCCTGACTTTTAGGAAATTCTTAACTTTCTAGATATAAAATCTCCTTTAAAACATACCCAAAAGGGTATCCTTGCTGACTTCGCTCTGTAACTTCTCCAGGAGGAGCAGCATGGCACTATTTTTTCCTGCCAAATGCCAAACTGTTAAAGATACAGTGTTCCACATCACAGCCCACCATCGCAACTTTTTTTACTAGTAAAAAAACAACAGCAACTTCTTCCTAAGCTTTTGCATTTCTTGTTTCCACAACATACTGGAAGAGACTAGTCACCATCCACAGCAAGCAAGCAAGCAGCATGTTCCCTCATTAGAAAAACACTCCAATATGAGTTACTGGAAGAAAAAAATAAATTCAAATGTATTGTGGGAAATCTAGCCACGATTGGAAAAAATAAGCAATAGAGAGAACATGATAAGATTGCAAAGGAAAGGTATAGGGTAAGTACTTAGGTAGCTGTTTGCTTGTGCAATTCTTATTAATAACCATATTTTATTTCCTGATGGAGGTTGGGATAAGAGGAGAGAAAATAGAATAGTGTTGTTCTGTAGGCAAAGCTTCAACAAAAAACAAGCCTAATGTATATTATATTTAAGCACCAGTCAAATTAAATGAAATGTAGAAGAAATAAAGAGCAAAGAGAGAAATATTTTGATTAAATTAAACAACAGAAATTAGATATTAGAAATTAGATATTGGTATTGGTAGGTAGCTAGATACTGGCAGCAGATTTTTTTTTTAGACAGGATTTGCTTTTTGCTGGAATTCTTATTGTTAATAATATTTTTTGAAAGTACTGTATATACTCAAGTATAACCCTAGTTTTTCAGTCCCTTTTTTAGGCTGAAAAAGCACTCCTTGGCTGGGTTGATCTGCTGAGAGAGGAGGAGAGGCTGTTCACCTTCCTGTCCTCTCTCACGTGCCTTCCTCTCCTCTCACGGTGTCAGCTCCCCCCCCCCTCCATTTCCCCAGCACCCCTTTTCCACCCCAGCCTTGCCCTTTTCTAGTTTTTTCCCCTTCCAACCCCAGTCTTTACTATCCCCAGTCCCTCTCCCCCAGTTTTCCAGCTCCCTTTCCTTTCTAGCCTTTCCCAGGTTCCAGCCTCTTTCCCATTTCAGTCTTGCCCCTTGTCCCATTTTCCCGACCCTCTTTCTCACCCCAGTCTTTCCCACTTTCCCAACCCCCTTTCCCACCTCAGTCTTTCCCACTTCTCCACTTGCCCCCTTCCCACTGAAATCTTTCCACCTTTCCAGCCCCCCTTTTGGACCCCAGACTGGCTTGGGAAAGGGGGAGAAAGAAGGAATTGAAATAGGAAAAGGTTGGAATGGGAAGGGGTGGATGAAAAGGTAGAAAAAATGAGGTGGAAAGGAGGTAGCTGGAAAAGTAGGACACTTTGCAATCTTCTTTTTTCCATCCCAGTCTTCTCCAGCTGCCCCTCTTTCCCACCCCAATTTCCTCATCTTATCCCAATCCCCATCTCACACTCTAGATTGGGGTCTTTCCCAGTTTTCCAGCCCCCCTTTCCATCCCAACCTTCCCCAGTTTCCAGCCCCCTTTCACACTTCAGTCATTCCCCCTTCCCCAGTTGCCCCCTTCTCACCATGTCCTACTTTTCCAGTACCTCCTTTCCACCTCATTTTTTCTACCTTTTCATCCACCCCTTCCCATTCCAACCTTTTCCTATTTCAATTCCTTCTTTCTCACCCCTTCCCAAGCCAGTCTTTCCCAATTTTCCTTATCTGTATACACACAGCATTTTCCCCAAAATGTATAGTTAAAATAGACTATGGTGATTGTTGGAAGGATATGTAAGCACATTTACATTGAAGATGATGAGAATTATGATTTTGTTTTATGTAAATATTCAAAAACATTTAACCTATTAATGCCTCAATTAATGTAATTATATTGGTATCTATTTTTATTTTGAAATTTACCAGTAGCTGCTGTATTTCCCATCCTCAGCTTGTATGCGAGTCAATAAGTTTTCCCAGTTTTTTGTGATAAAATTAGGTGCCTCGGCTTATATTCGGGTCGACTTGTACTTGAGTATATATGGTATTTTCTGAAGGAGGGAGAGAGGATTAAAAAATATAAGGAGAGGAGAAAAGAAGCTAAGGAGTGTGAGTCAAGGCTCAGAGCCACCCTAATATTATAAAAGAAAATCACACCCAGCCACCCAAGAGATGCTCTTTCTCCCAAGCCCCCAAACGCACACCTACCCACCCGCACTTTCTAAGTCTAAGTACTCCTAAATAAAGAGTCAACAAAATAAAGTAAAATCAAAAACTAAGATTCATTGCTAGAAGCTAGGCCAAAATGTAAAGCTTCGAGTGGCAATCGGACTGAAGCACCTCTCTCTAGAGCCAGGATGCAACTGAGAAATGGAGGTACTTTCCTTGTTTATTTTGGGTAAGACATGTCATAGCTTTCTTCTGTTCTGATTGGCTCAACAGGCAGGGCTCAGAGGGAAACCCTCTGTGAGCATGTGGCAGCCTCTCTGTGCTCTGTGTGTTCCTGAATAGAAACTGAAAGGCGCAGTGATTGGCAGCCGAGTGGTCTGTTCTGGACAAAAACAGATGGCGACGGAGCCCTTGCCAATATGGGCGTCCGAATAAGCCAAAAACTGTGTTTTAAAATGGATCTGGGCACAACCCTACTAAGAACCAACTTGATGATAGTGATGACTGAAAAGACCTCTGCTGGCATATAGGTGTTTGATTGCACAAGCCAACAAAATCAGACTTTTTGTAATCATCAGAAATAAGAGTACCACAGTTCAAATAAATGTTTATACTGATTTTAAGTATGCTTTAACTCTCATCGTTTCCAGGTCACTAGCCACCGGAGTGGGGAATCCATGAATATTTGGGGATGTCACAGCTTTCCCACCATCTCTGTTCTCTGCAGCACTTTCCAGTTCAAATAGGAGGCCTGGAAGCCCCAAAATCCAATGCCTTGCTATATCAAGGCTACAAGAGGCAGGGTTGTTGTAGGTTATTTCGGGCTGTATGGCACGAAAAACAGGTAGAAATGCAGGCCACAACTATTTTTGGATGTGGGGAATATATAGTGAAAGTATTTGTCTGACACAAAAATTGTCAAGTTTTCTCTTGGAAGCTGATATGTTGGGAGAGTGAAGGGTGAACCATCTTTGCTCTGAAGGACCCCATTTGCTTTTTTATTCTCTTTAAGGTTTATATAGACTCCAGTCTCTTCTGGTCTAGTGCAGCTTTTATTTTGTTAAAATGCATTTTTATTGTGCTCTTTAAGGCCTGTAAAAATTATTCATTTGATTGGGAGAGACACCATAGAAGAGATAATCTATCGACGAGCAGCATCAAAGCTCCAGCTAACTAATACCATTATTGAAGGAGGCCAGTTTGCACTTGGAACCCAAACATCACAGGAAACTGTCAATATTCAGGTAAAAGATAGAGAAAATACTCTAAGTCAGATTCTTTTTCATTAAAAAGATGTGGATAGCAACAATAAGATCTTGCTGTATTTTCACTGGACTGGGGAAGGAGCTCCCGGTGGCGCAGTGGGTTAAACCCGGCAGGACTGAAGACCGACAGGTCACAGGTTCAAATCCGGGGAGGGGTGGATGAGCTCCCTCTGTCAGCTTGAGCTCCCCAAGCGGGGAGATGAGAGAAGCCACCCACAATAATGATTTTAAAAAAAAGATCAAATCATCCAGGCATCCCCTGGGCAACGTCCTTGCAGACGGCCAATTCTCTCACACCAGAAGCGACTTGCAGTTTCTCAAGTCACTCCTGACACGACCAAAAAAAAAAAAAACCTGGACTGGGGAATTTGGGTGGTTTGGGAACTTTCATAAAGGTTTCTAAAAGTGTCAGGCTATAGCTGCTTGATTGCCAAAACCACCATATCAGATCACAAATTTTATCTAGTTTTGAGACCAACTAGTTAAAAGTTTTAGATTTATCTGAAAGTATTATGGTCAGTTGAACCAAAAAAAGCTTTTTTTTTTTCAGAAACAGTCTCCCAGGAAATGATACAAGCATTGTAAATGTCCTTAATTTTATGCCTGCTTCAATTATTTTTTTCTTTAAAAGGGTTAGGAAATGAGACCTGAAGAGCTTTGCTCTAATATGATTTTGAACTCAGAACAAACCAGGCAATGAACAATACATTGCTTAGTCTCATCCCAATTTGTCACCCTCTTTATTTTTATTAGCTTGTTAGATATATCTAAAGATCTCAGGGTTGTCTATAATAAAATAAGAATGATTGCTACTGTTACAGTTTTATAACAGTAGCCATGCTGTCAGTTCTAGTTTCTGTAATTGTTTTATCGCTGTCAAGCTGAGTTTTGTTACCTCACAAGCAGGTAGTACAGAAGCATTTATGTTTTGCTTCTCTGGGTTTTTTAATGAATCTGTAATAACAATGCTGTGGAAAGATTGCAAGAGACAACTATGTAGACTTTTAATTTTTATTGTTTTTTTTTAAGCTGAGTGAAATCCTGAAGTTTGGTTTGGACAAACTGCTATCATTGGATGGGAGTACTATCTGTGATGTGGATTTGGGAAGTATTCTTGGAGAGACCAGAGAAGGAGTATGGATAATAGATCCTGTGCTGTCCACCACAGATGGAAATGAAGAGCAAAATCTAGAAAGTATGTGGAATAAAAACCAATTTAGATATTAATATGAGACTGCGATTAGAATTAACCTCAGCTTGAAGCTAAGATCAGTTTCTATACCCTAAGCCTGCCTATTCATATAATTGTGCTACCTGCCTAATCTGCTTGTCATCAGCCTCTCCTTGCAAAGATATTTCTTCTGTTTGCAGATTTCATGCAAACCTTGTTTTTCAAAAATTCAGACTGTTTTCCTACCAGAATTGAACAAGCATCCCTCAGAAACTTGCTCATTGTTCAGAACCTAGTTTGGTGTCAGAAGTATCTGAATGTAGTAAGTCTACTGTTTCATCTGACTAAAATACTACCACTACTACTACTACTACTACTACTACTACTACTACTAACATCATCATCATCTTTATTTATACCTTGCTACCATCTCCCCCAACGGGGACTCGGGGCGGCTTACCTAAGGCCAGGCCCAAACAACAAATTACAGCAAAATAAAACCAAAAACACCAGCAATAAACATCAACATCATAATTACATAAAACATATGAAAACATTAACAATATGAAATCACAGTGACAATGGGCGGGCCACATGTGCAGAATAAAATGATTTTCAAAACTGATTAAAAATGGCTCTCTGGGGAGAATGTCATAGAGGGCAGTTCCCCTGACTGTTCCTTTTTTATATGTATAATAATACTTTTAGTAAGACAAAATAATCATTCATATAAAACAACTTTAAGGGAAATATATATACATAAGAACTACATATTACATAGTCCAAGCAACACTACATGCTAAACACACTGCGTGGTACACTACAGGGAGGGATAATATGACTTCCTTTCCTTAATCACATATTATATGTTGTCTTTATTATGCTCTACTAACTGCATCTCATATCTATCAAAAGCCTAAGTTGTGATATACTCTCCATCTTGTCTTCACAAAAGACATATTTCCCTCCTTCTGAAAATCAACTATGGATATCTCTATGATCAATATTGTCAGTTTGTCCATTTCAGCTAGTTCATTTTCACCAATCACTTGTCTTATTGGCATAGTTGGGTGTTTCCATCTTTGAGCATTTACCTCCTCAGAACTGTAAGAGTTCTTCCATATTTTTCCCCACGTGTTCTTCCATCATTCCTAACAGAGACGATTCTGGTCCTTTTAGTAATTTTTTTTAAAAAAATGCCCTATTTTATCAGATGCATCTCTGTTCAATATGATTTATCATCAACTGTGTTCACCACATATGATAAAATGTGCCTAATTTCCAATCACATTTCCAGCATTACCAGTAGCATTTTTATGGGAAGTCTTTCTGGAGTAAGATACCACTTATATATCATTCTATATTTTTTCTCTCCCTTCAGGTCATAATACAGTGTGAACTTCAGAGTTTTCATCCATATTTTTCCCATTTCTCCAAATGGAATCTTAAATCAAATTCTTAAGCAGAATTAGTTGTTCATTTTGAGATGGCTGTTTGTTGTTTTTTTAAAAAAACCTATTTTTTATTAAAGGCTAATATAATTACATGCAAAGCGGGAATATTCAAAAGAGGATAGGAAAGTAGGAAATGAAAAAGAAAAAAGGGAAAATAATAATAAAGAATTGAAAGAAAGAGAAAAAAAATGGGTGTGACTTCCATACTATCTTCATGGTTTCTTCTCATCTTAACTTTATAGTCCTTATTTGATTTTCCGTTCACCCTTTATCTGTTCTATTATTGTCATAGTCCCGAAAGAGATCCCAATTAGTCCTTTTTTGTGTCTTCCTGGTAGTTTTCCTTAATAAAAAAGTTAATTCGTCCATATCTTTTATTTCTCTCACCTTTTCCAAGCAGTCGTCAAGGACTGGGATTTGTTCCTGTTTCCACATTTTTGCAAAAATAATTCTTGCCACCGTTGTAATAAAAGTAAAAAAATTGTCCTCATTTTCATTGAGCTGTAACTCCAAATCCGTAAAGCCTAACAAATAGTACTCAGGTTTCTTTTTAAAAGTCCTCTTTAAATTTTTTTGTGTCTCCTTGTGGATTTGTGTCCAATATTTCGAGGTTACCTTACAAGTCTACCACATATGGAAAAATGTGCCCACCTGATCACAACCTTTCCAACATTTATCCGAAATATTTTTATACATATGGTCTAATTGCTTGGGAGTGGTATACCACCTCTGGAACGTTTTAATCCAATTTTCTTTTAAGTCCATGGTATAAGTATATTTCAGTTTTCTGTTCCACATTTGTTCCCACTCCCTGAATTGATTTGGCCTTCTTAAATTTTCTGCCCATTTAACCATGCAGGTTTTGTTTGTTTTAAAGGCCACATGTATCTATACGAAGGCAAAGATTACTCCAAAGAACTTAGCAGAGAAGACCAGAAAGCCTTTGATCAGCTGCTTGATCTTCAGAAAGTTCTCCTTGAAGATGTCAGTCAAGAAGGAAGAGCTCTCCGAAATAAAGCCAACGTGAGTAAAAATAAAGTGTGGCATTTTGATACGGTGGGAGGTATCTTAGTGTAAAAGTTTATAACTGTGGAGCCCCCGGTGGCGCAGTGGGTTAAACCCTTGTGCTGGCAGGACTGAAGACTGACAGGTCACAGGTTCGAATCCAGGGAGAGGCGGATGAGCTCCCTCTATCAGTTCCAGCTCCTCATGCGGGGACATGAGAGAAGCCTCCCACAAGGATGATAAAAACATCAAATCATCTGGGCATCCCCTGGGCAACGCCCTTGCAGACTGCCAATTCTCTCACACCAGAAGCGACTTGCAGTTTCTCAAGTCGCTCCTGACACGACAAAAAAAAAGTTCATAACTAGCTTGTGTGCATTCTTCAATTTTTTAAAAAAGGCCCAGTTGGCCATCTTCGCCAGTCAGAATACTTTATGTAAAATGAGGAAATTGTGCATGATTTCTGATGTAGAAAAGAAACACTGGGTTGCAAAATATGTTCTGTAGGTCTGTCAAGGTTTGTATCATGATGCATTGTTATCTGTATGGTTTTCCAAAACAAAACCATTTAAATATATATATATTCTGTGAACTGCCATGAACCTGAACACTAAGAATTGAAGATCCCCTAGCTTTGGCAGTCAGATTTTTATCACAATTTATTTAAAATAAATTAAGATGCCCATGTTCACTGTGGAATTCAAAGAGATGGGTTTCAGCTGAATGCAGTAAGGTATATATGAAGAGGCTTTGCACAGGAACACACAGTTACTGACTTGTAGAGAGGATAAGTAAGACCAAATTTGAGAGCTTGCCGACCGGCCCACAGTGTTTCAAAGAGCAGCTGGAAAGCAGACCAGAGGGAGCTATTCTGCTCTGGATAAAGAATGACCTGGAAGCATCTTCCTGTGGGGAAATGTAACTCAAAAACACTTTTTTCTTCTCCAGGCCCTTGTTTTGGGTATCGAGATAGGTCCCAGTAAGAAACGGAGGAAACTGAGTCCCGAAGAACTGGAAGCCCGGCGTAGGAAGGCACAAGAAGCAGCAGCCAGAAGGGCCAGGATCAAGGAAGAACAGAGACAGAAAAAGGCAGAAGCCGATCACCAGAAAAAGTAAGGTGCTCTGCAGGCACTGTACTCAAAGTAGCACAAGCAAACAAAGCCCTTCATCATTCTTCCTGCTGCTGGATTAAGGCTGTATATTTGGCACTACCTCTTACAAACACTAGTTGCATGCTTTCTTCATAATCCTTTCTGAAATCCCTGTAGAACACATGTGTCAAACTCAAGGCCTGTGGGCAAAATCCAACATACCATGTCATTTTATATGGTCCTCCAGATGCTGCACCCGAACTCCTGTATGCCTCATCATTTGACACCATTATTAGGGCTGATGGGAGTTTTAATACAGTAATATCTAGAAGGCTGCAGTTTGTTCTGTTTAACAATCAGAACGGGATTTGAATTTAGATACAAGATATCTGGATATTATGTCTGACTTAAATATGCCCTTTAGCCTTTCTCAATCCTCAGAAGTACTGTTGGATTGCAACAGCACCCATCATCCCCAGTCCTTCTGGCAGATCATCAAAACTGATGAGTGTTGTCATTCAATAACATCTGGGGACCCCAACTGGTTAAAAACTAAAGAGCACTGTAAAAAAAAAATCTTCGTGGTGTCTGTGAATACACACATATGGAGTTACTGCGCCTGCGCAGGACTGAACGGAAACTTCTCAAACTATATTTTTGAATTTTGGCGGCATCCACGCCCACTCCTCCCAAGGGTATAAAGGGCCCCCTGGCCGTATGCTCCCCAGTTCTCTTTTTTCTGCCGCAGCAGCAACTTCGGTTCTTCCTACAAGTCTTGCCATGGCGTCCATTCGATTGGGACCCATGTTTTTTCAAGATAAAGACAACATCTCCTGTCAACACAGTGGCTTTGCTGACAGTCTTTTGTCCCTTTCACGGCATTGGTGCCATTCAACTTGGCCCGACTAGGAACTCGCCGAACAACTGTGCCATATTCCAGCCTCCCCTCCACCTTGGGAGGGGCTGTTGCTGAAGACCACACTCCGGGGCAAAGAGTTCCACTGCTGAACGGCTCTCACAGTCAGGAAGTTCTTCCTCATGTTCAGATGGAATCTCCTTTCTTGTAGTTTGAAGCCATTGTTCTGTGTCCTAGTCTCCAGGGAAGCAGTAAACAAGCTTGCTCCCTCCTCCCTGTGGCTTCCTCTCACATATTTATACATGGCTATCATATCTCCTCTCACCCTTCTCTTCTTCAGGCTAAACATGCTCAGCTCCTTAAGCCGCTCCTCATAGGGCTTGTTCTCCAGACCCTTGATCATTTTAGTCGCCCTCCTCTGGACACATTCCAGCTTGTCAATATCTCTCTTGAATTGTGGTGCCCAGAATTGGACACAATATTCCAGGTGTGGTCTAACCAAAGCAGAATAGAGGAGTAGCATGACTTCCCTCGATCTAGACACTATGCTCCTATTGATGCAGGCCAAAATCCCATTGGCTTTTTTTGCCGCCACATCACATTGTTGGCTCATGTTTAACTTGTTGTCCACGAGGACTCCCAAGATCTTTTTCACACGTACTGCTCTCGAGCCAGGCATTGTCCCCCATTCATCACATGCTCATCTGGCTTTTCAGATGCAATGCCGTGGCTATATGGTATACTATCAGACAGGATAGCGTGGGATCTAACAAACTCCTGCAACTTTAGTTGTGGCTACAAAGCTTGCCCACCAACTATTCGGTGGCCCTGGCGGTTCCACCCCGTCTGGGGCGATATAATGGCATCAATCTTTCCCTGATTGGGATGACCTCATCCTATAGATGGAGGATTGGGTCTGATTACACCCGTCACAGATAAAGGTAAAGGGTTTCCCATGATACCAAGTCCAGTCGTTTCCGACTCTGGGGTGTGGTGCTCATCTCCATTTCTGGGCTGAGGAGCCGGCGTTGCCCATGGACACGTCATGGGTCATGTGGCCGGAATGATTGCATGCAGAGCTGTTATATCCTTGCAAAAATATGTTGGATATTAATGTTCCTGTCTTCCTTACCTACCCAGGGCCCTGGTACAGATTTCGGTTTTTTGCCATGCACTTCGTGACTGCCTCACAAGTGCCCTTTTTTGCTCTGACATTACTCTTACCTTTATTTGTTTTTACACACGACCTTCTGGTCCTTTGACCAATGCGGGATATCTATATTGGCCTACTTACTTCCTGACTGATCCCTCATTGCATGATTATAACTCGAGTGTCATGGCCTTCCGACCATATTATCTTCCTGGTTGATGCCTAGATGCCTGCACATCAGCTATGTCTGGATGCCTGCACATCCGCTCTTTTCCTATCGTAAAGACATTGTTTTTTTCCACATCAAGGGCAGCCCCAACAGACTGTGGTGTGGGACCACCGCCTGGGCTACGACAATTTTTTCCCATCCGGTTTCTTTCCTTTATTGTTAACGTTTATTGTTTATTTTCTGCTTATGAGTTTATGAGTTTATTTATTGTTTTGTATTACTGTTGCTATTGTTTATTGTTGTATTGTAGGCTCGGCCTCATGTAAGCCACACCGAGTCCCTTGGGGAGATGGTAGCGGGGTACAAATAAAGATTATTATTATTATTATTATTATTATTATTATTATTTAATGTACCTTGGAGTACAAGTTCCTCTCGAAGGCTCCGGTATCAACTTACCGCGCCTTGGGAATATGCTGGCCAGACTTTATAACCGCCTGCCTCATCCCGTTCAGGATGATAGCAGAGGGTTATACATACAATTCCGGCCTAAAGGTATACCTGACACTTCTCCTCTTAAAAAAAAGAAAGAAAGAAAGAAAGAAAAGACCTTACTGTGATTTTCCTACAGCTAGCCCTCTGACCCATCCCGAGGGTGGCACACAACCCATCCATGCGGAGTCCTTACTCCTATATGTATCTCACTGTCCGGTCTTTGATGTATTTTCATCAAGTCTCTTGATGATCCTCCTACGGTCAAATGGCTTCAATTCTCTGCTCTCTATGGCTGGAAGGGCTTTCCCCTTCCTCTATAAGATATTGTCGGGAACCTACGTCACAGTCCCGATGACAAAGAGGCCAGCCATTCCCCTCTCCAATTTTTGTGCCGGGACACTCCAAAGCCCTCCGTTAATCAACTTCATCACCTCGACACTCCGTCCCATGCGAGACTCTCGATCTCATCCCATGTCAGCCCTCCGGTTGGCCACCTCGAACCCCTGGCCAAGCTGGGCCTTCAGTTCCTGTCGTAACAGATGAACACCCCCCCCCCCCCCGGCCCCACCACCTCTGCTCGTCCTCTTCGCAGCAGACGGTGCCCTGGAGTGACAAACCTTACATCGTTATTCGTCGAGGTCAAGGTCTCCTCAGGATCAATGTGACCTCCCTCTCAAAGGTGATCTCAATTTACTTCGGTCAACCAGGTCTTTCTAGTTCTGGCTCCCTTTCCAGATATCTGCCTCACCATAACGGAAGCAGCTTCTCTTCCTATATGTTAGGAGGGCACCACTTTCTATACTGTTCGGCTTACCAAAAAAAAAAAAAGACAGAAAGAGCCTGGAGATTGTGTCTACCCTGTGCTAAAACAGGCGACAGCTGGTACCCTCTCGCCTTTGTCCCACCGAGTTGTGTGGGCCATACAGCTTTCCTACCAGCCAGCCTACCCTCCCAAGCTCGCCTCGATCTACCAGCTCCAGTGACCTCTATGTCCCGTTGTTGGTTGAACTCGAGGTCTCATCCAAACATTACACTAGAGACACTTGTCTCTCTCGTTCTCTTTTACCTCCGTCATTTGCCCGACCTGACAGCTCAGGCGCTTCGGGACAAAGTGATAACAATAATAACGAAGATTATGCTCATACTCAGCCTTTTCCTTCAACATATGTTTATTTTTTCACTAAATAAATAAATAAATACATGAAATAAGGCACATTGGGTTTTCTCCTCCTCCATGTTGTCAGATGTCTTACAGACTTCAAATTACCCAAGCCATGGTGCTACTACTGATGGTTTTTCGCCCATGTTCGTTGCACTAGCCTTCTACGCCGTCGAACATTATGCCTCTATCACTGAGTCTGTTGTTTGGTCGGGGCCTTGTACAGGTTCCTACTTATCAAATTGCTTCATCTCAAGGTCTACTTACCGACACCTACTCCTGTTGGAGGTTTTTTCTCTTCCTATATATAGGAAAGATCACTTCCTTATGGCTCTGGTGTCGGTTTGCATGTTTCCCGCCTACTTAGACCTCAGCTTGCTAGTCTCCATATGTGTGTATTCACAGACACCACAAAGAAAAATGGTAGGTTACATACCTGTTACCATCTTTCTTCGAGTGGTGCTCTGTGAATTCACACAAACCCACCCTTCTTCCCCTCTCATGCAAACCTCCCCCTTTTTCACTGCTTCTGCGGTGAAAGAACTGGGGAGCGTATGGCCAGGGGCCCCTTTATACCCTTGGGAAGAGTGGGCGGGCATACCGCCAAAATTCAAAAATATAGCTTGAGAAGTTTCCGTTCAGTCCTGTGCAGGCGCAGTAACTCCATATGTGTGAATTCACAGAGCACCACTCGAAGAAAGATGGTTACAGGTATGTAACCTACCAATAGTTGGCCCTCTCTATCCACAGATTTGCCACCCGTGGATTAAAGGTGATCGTAATGCTGATGTGGCCCTAGATGAGAATGAGTATGACAGCCCTGCTGTAGAACATCATATGCTTGTGTGCTAGACATTGCTTTTGTTATTTCTCTCTCTTTCTTTCTTTCTTTCTTTCTTTCTTTCTTTCTTTCTTTCTTTTTGCTTTGATTTTTTAAAATCTGCTTCAGGTTTAAGCAGAGTTAAAGCAGCGGTTTCATGCAGCACGTAATATTGTGCCTTATTCCTTTTTTTTAAAAAAATTCAGGATGGCCTGGTGGGAAGCTAATCACTACAGGTCTTATTGCCTTGAGTCAGAAGAAAGCAGTGAGGACGACGAGGAGGAGGAGGGCGTGCTGGATGTCCATTTGGACTACACTAATCCAGACCAAACCTCTATCCACTATATTATGGGTGATGTCACTCATCCCTCAGCTGGGGAAGAGGATGCCATCATTGTGCACTGTGTAGGTAAGTAGAAAACATTGCCTGAGCAGGCATACTTTTTGTGAACCTGTAACCTCCCCAAAGTCCTGCTTGGGTGGAACTCCTTTCTGTTCATGGTTTTCAGTGGGAAAAAGCCGTGGTTGTGATGAAATGTGTTTTTCTTCTCTAATGGTAAGCAGGTTCTATTTAATTGGGAAGCCATTAGAATTTCTCCATTGCTTGCTTCTGTGTGTTATATATACCACAAGAGTAAGAATACTGACTCCAAAAATCTGTGTAATAGTTTAGGCCATCCAGTCCAAACCTCCGCCATGCAGGAAAATACAATCAATTGCTGCAAGCAACAATAAAATAATGGTATAAATACATCTCAACAGATTATTAAAATCCTAATACAAATAAATTAAGCAAAAATTTGCATGTTTAAATAGTAGTATCAGTGCTTTGCGTAGTCTTACAAAAATTGAGAAGAGTGCCCAACTTTTTGTAAGCTTGTTCATAAAACCTTTCTTCACCCATCCTTACTAACTCTTACTAACATTTCAGCCTTAGTTATCCAATTGCCAATCAGCTGTGGATTTTTGTGCTGCATACACAATATCTGAAATCATTTAAAATGTATACCTATGGAATATGTCACCTCTGATTCCAGCATAGAATTTGTATATCTTCATATGCCATTTTGGAATAAGTGTTTTTGTATCTAAACATTCTGTTGCTTTAGTGTGCATGCTTCATGGCATCCAAGATTCCCTTTGTCATTAGACTACATAATGAAAAGTCCCAGAAATAATTGGTGTGATGGGTAGAACTAGATGTCTTTTTGGCTTCTGAGAAGTCAAGGATACCAAATTCTGCCCCTATAAAGTGACCTGTGTCTCACAGAAAGGCTTCTTGGTCAGGATTTGCCTGAAGCATAACTGCTTTCTTCATTGGAGCTTTGGCCTCTTCTCTATCTTGCCACACTAAAATATTCAAATTATCAGCACAGCAGATAATTGTTGATTAAAAAAAAACTTAATGGATCTCAACAGGACAAAGGCTTTTCTATCTGTGGATGCATTTTCCGGGAGAACGATATGCAGAAAGAGTTTATCTTTCAGCCCTTGAAAGCTCCATTTTAAAAAATCACACATACACATCTGTCCTGACTTGTTACAACTCTGTAGAAAGGAGATTTTATCTGAACATTAGGAAGAACTTCCTGACTGTGAGAGCTGTTCAGCAGTGGAACTCTGTCCCGGAGTGGGGTGGAGGGTCTTTTTTGGAGAGCTTTTAAACAGAGGCTGGATGGCCATCTGCCAGGGGTGCTTTGAATGCGATTTTCCAGCTTCTTGGCAAGGGGTTGGACTGGATGGCCTGCGGTGTCTCTTCCAACTCTATGATTCTAAGTCTTATATGTTACTCTCTGGTTCAGATGATTCAGGCCGCTGGGGGAGAGGAGGCTTATTTACAGCTTTGGGAAACCGCTCTGACCAGCCAAAGAAGATATATGAGCAGGCAGGAAAGATGAAAGGTAAGTCAGGTATGGGAGAAAAATTGGAGATAGTTCCTCTTTTAGCTGTACTGTTTTTAGATAGACTTCCCAACATCTGATATTAACAAGTTGTTAAAGTGTTATCCCGATCATAAGGTCTCAGTGCCTCTTTGCTTTATTCTTGTAGATCTGAAATTAGGAGGAACTCTCTTATTCCCAATTGATGATAAGGAATCCAGAAACAAAGGACAGGACTTGGTAACTATACATGGAGATGCTTTCTTTTAAACTGAATAATTTATTCTTAATTGAGGAGTAATATAAAATAGGCAGCTGTAGGTTTAAAAAAGTACAAAATACTTCAGTGGGAATACAATTTGAATAAGTAATATCCATGTCTGTTTGACATCAGACATCCCTCAAGGTTGTTGGGTTTTTAAAAAAAAACAACAACAAACAAACTTTGAGATATATTTTAGTTTTCAAGTGCTTATTTCAACTGATTTTTAAAAAATGAAATGAGGAATTATCAGAATGCTTTTAGACTTAATCCATAGGCACAATAGTCCTTGCAAACTGGTGAGGAAGATGTTTCTTGACAATAAGGTGCGTCATTACTTCCTCTTGTTCCTTGACTGATTCTAAACAATTTTTATCGTGCTTTCCCAGCTGGCCCTTATTGTTGCACAGCACCGAGACTGCTCCAACAACTTGTCTGGAATTAAGCTCCCTGCTTTGGAAAAAGGATTAAAGAAAATCTGTCTGGCAGCCAAGAAAAGGGATGGTAAGTATTCCAGTTTGAGAAATAGAATATTCCTCCCCCCAATTCACATATAGAGTCCTGAAGGTCCTGTTGAATCAAGTTGAGGTGCACAGAAAAGGCATCCCAGTCTTCTTCTAGAGTCCCTGACATTGTAGAGAAGACTCCTGTATCAACAGCTGTCTCAGTTTTGAGGAGACCGTTTGGGGGGGGATGCCTCCCGTACCTTTTGCTTCCTCAGACAAAATTCTGGCTCCATGTTCAGGACTTTGACAAGTATTGCTACTTGAGTTGAGTTACCTTAAAAATTGTGAGCTACCCTTCACATTATGAAAAGTATTTCAGGATATCATACTGAAAACCACTAAAACGTAATTTTCCTCTATCTTGATTCACCACGTATCAAACTCATAAAGGAGATAGCTGTCCAATTGGATCTGCTGCTGTTTTATTGAGGTCAAAGTAGGGCATGGGCAAACTTCAGCACTCCAGGTTTTTGGACTTCAACTCCCACAATTCATCTGCTAAAATGGCTGGGATTAATGGGAGTTGAAGTCCAAAACACCTGGAGGGCTGAAAATTTGACCATGCTTGTGATAGAATGTTGCTAACTGGTTGTACACTGGAATGAACAGCTAGTGAAGGAAAGGGCCCTTGGGTTTAATGGCTGTTGATTTCTCCCTGGTCTTCCAGTTACTACTCCTTACCCTAAAACATGGATCCCCAAACTATGGCCTGCGAGCTGGATTTGCCCTCCAAGGTCCTTTACCCAGCCCCTGGTCCAAACTTTAGGCTTATGGATACCCTCTATCTGAAATGAAGGCACACAACTCAAGTATAAGCCAACCTGAATATAAGCCGAGGCACCTAATTTTACCACAAAAAACTGAGAAAACGGATTGACTCGAATATAAGCCGAGGGTGGGAAATGCAGCCACTACTGGTAAATTTCAAAATAAAAATAGATACCAATTAAATTACATTAATTGAGGAATCAGTAGGTTATATATTTTTGAATATTTACAAAAATGATAATTTAAGATAAGACTGATAAAATGATTATTTACTTTCTTCAATGTAAATGTGCTTACGTATCCTTCCAATAATAATAAAGAGAGTAACATAATAAATGTAATAACAACAATAATAATAAAGAGTAAAATAATGAATGTAGCAATAACAACAATTATACAGTAAAATAATAAATGTATAATAATAGAGTAAAATGATAAATTTAATAATAATAATATAGAATAAAATAATAAATGAAATGAATAATAATAACAACAACAACAACAACAGAGTAAAATAATAAATAACCTTTACTCGAGTATAAGCCAAGGGGGACTTTTTCAGCCTAAAAAAAGGGCTGAAAAACTAGGCTTATACTTGAATATATACAGTAACCTGATTATCTCATCAGCCAAAAAGCAGGCCCACACTTCCAATTGAAATACTGGTAAATTTATATTGGTTCTTCATTTTAAATACAGTATTGTTCTTTCATTATTTTTTGCACTACAAATAAGATACGTGACATGTGCATAATAATTTGTTCATGTTTTTTTCAAATTATAATCCAGCCTTCTATTTGAAAAGTTTGAGGGGCCCTGCCCTAAAAGGTGTAGTCCCCTTTAGAATATAATCTCTGCAGCTAGGAAGTTATGTACAGGAATATTTATCTCTTGTTTTGTTTATCTGCATTTTATTCAGGCAACTTTCTCCCTTTTCCTCTGTCTCTCAGCAAGTGTCCACCTGCCTCGCATTGGACATTCAACCAAAGGCTTTAATTGGTATGGAACAGAGCGTCTTATTCGCAAGTACCTGGCAACAAGAGGAATCCCCACATTTTTGTATCCTTGTGAAAGACTCTACATCAGTAGAAGTCAGAAAGTAGAGATTGGTATTGTGTTGCATTTGTTGGCACAGGGATTCAGGACTTTTTAACCTCCATGCTGAGTAATGGGCTTTGACTTTCCTTCATTAAACCACTTTCTCAGCTGTTTAGGCCGCCATGCCTGTAGGTGGCACAATACAACTTTCCCTCTCCTCTTAGTTCTCATTTCTTAACACATACCATTTCATGTGGTTTCTTAAAAATACCCTTTCAGGTTTTTTTAAAAAAGCACACACACATTCCTAATTTTTATGAAGGGAGGACTCAAAAGTGGAAAAGTAAAGTTCAGGCTGGGGATGGACACTCATAGAATTACTTACTTAGGCGATCCCTCATAGTCCGAGGATGATGGTCCTCCAAGTTCGGTGTCCTGGCGGTGGGTTTGTAGGTGACTGTGGAGCCCTATTCTTGATCTGCATCTTCTTCCGCAGTGAGGGCATTGGTTTCCAGGTGGAAGGCGGTCTCGGTCGGGGTTGACTTGACGCGCCTTTCTCATAGAATTACAATCTAACTACCATTGGTCACTATTTTGATGCTCTTATCTCTGGAAAAGTATTATGTGATCAGTTAGAACTGTTTTGCCCCAATGCTGAAAACTTGAAGAGTCACCGTTATTCAGGACTAAAGCTCTAGTAACAATGGGAAAGAAGGTATTGCTTTGCTTTCATATTTAACCAGGCAAACTAGAGGGGTTTATTCCCAATTATGTGCCAGATTAGATCTGAGTCCTATTAAAGCATTTTTCCATTAAGCACTGTGTAAAGTAACAGTTTTAATCTATGTTGTTATCTGTGGGAAATTTAATTTTACCCACAGCTCACTAAGACTTTTTTTGACTACTTTCAGAATCTGTGACCATTTATCTTGGTGTAGTCCAAAAATAACTTTTCCAATATATGTTTTTTTAAAACTTCTGACTTCAGTTGATGATAGCTCCTTAACTTTTCTTGTTAGATACTACTTTCCTAGAGCTAAAGCACCTTCACAAGTTTCCACGACATCAGCATCAACTACACAGTCTTAAAGCTGTTTGCAGTGCACACAGCTCTCCTTCAGCTCATCTACAGTCAGCATTCATGCAGCTTTTTTCAATTGTTTAGAAAATCTGGGTAGGATAGATACAGATCTTTTTATATGCATATAAATCTGTTTCCATATGAGGGGTGCTGTAAGAGGACTGGATAAAGAGTTTTTATCATGCTCACAGGCCCCATCTGCACTGCCATATAAAATCCAGATTATCTGCTTTGACCTGGATTATATGGCAGTGTAGATCCAGCCTCAGTTTTGTGGACAGAAGTGGTAGTTCTGGATTGTACACAAATCCAGAACTGGCTTTAGTATTGTGCTGAACATGACCTGCTGGCCTCTGAGAAAGGTTCAAGCCAAGCAAACAAAAAAAGCAGATTAAGAGCAGATTAGACCTGTGACTTGGCTCTTCATCTCCTGGCTTTATTCCTTCAGATTGTAGAACTATTGATTTTTTTTTTATTTCTTGATTTAATTTTGTCCTGGCACATGGAATGTTTACAGTCTTGTTGAAATGTAGAGTGAATATTAAAATGACAAACTGACTATTTTTGTAAAAAAAAAATAGTGCTTGAAGCAAAATATCTTTATACAGATTTTATTCTATCACTTTGAAAAACAAGCTCTGGAATGGGGTTTATGATGGACAAGATTGTCTATTTTCTAGCTGAAAGTAGTGTCCTAAGGATCAGGAGATGAAGAATGGCTTATCGGTTGACCTGGTGAAGAATCTCAGCATTAACTCCCACATTGAGGGAGTCAGGCAAAACTGTATTAACTTGTAACCTTTAAGGTTGAAACTGTTTGTCTCTGCAAAGAACCAGCCTTGCCACAATAAGCCCAGAAACAGACCAACTGGCCATTATGTTAATCTCATGTCAACACAGTCCTCAACTCTATGTCCACAATGCTTCTAGAGACCATGTTTAGATATTACAAGGGATGCATCTGTCTTTTGAATAAAATAAATCTCCTTATTAAGAAATTATTAAAACCTTCTGACTATGGGTGTGCTTCCTTTGCATTTCCCCTATAACCCTCTCATGACCAGAGTTATTTTTCTTATCTATCTTTCAAGTAGCAATTCACTAACATTCTTGTCTTGGGGAAAGGCATCTCTTCTTCCTGTTTCTCTAATCTCTATTCATATTCCTGGCAGTGAGGAGGAAAGAATTATCGGAGGAAGTGCCTGGCCTGCCTTTTCTCACAATCCAGCAGTCTCTAAAGCACAGCTTTCCAAAAATTTCATGTTGGTGACACACTTTTCAGACAAGAATCATTTCACAACACAGTAATTCAGGTTGAGGTACAAAGGAGGGCCGAAACGAAGACAAGTCAAACCCGCATTTTGGAGTTTAGGAGAGCTGATTTCCGAAAAATGAAGGAAACACTGAGCAGCATTCCGTGGACACAGATACTAAAAGACAAGGGAGTTACGGATGGATGGGCGTTTCTCAAGAGTGAAATACTCAAGGCACAACTGCAAACAGTGCCAACAAAGAGAAAAAATAGTACAAGTGCAAAGAAGTCAGAATGGATGTCCAAAGAACTTCTAACTGTGCTAAGACACAAAAGAGACATGCACAAGAAGTGGAAAAGGGGAGAAATCACCAAAGATGAATTCAAACAAATAGCCAACTCCTGTAGGGAAACGGTCCGCAAGGCTAAAGCACAAAACGAGCTCAGGCTTGCCAGGGACATTAAAAACAATAAAAGGGGCTTCTTTTCTTATATCAGTAGTAAAAGGAAGAATGGGGAGGTTATAGGGCCACTTCGAGGAGAAGATTGGGCAATGCTGACAGGGGATAGGTAAAAGGCAGAACTACTTAATGCCTTCTTTGCTTCAGTCTTCTCACAAAAAATAAAGTCATCTTTAACCTCAGCAAGATGGAGTGGATGAGGGATTAGAGGACATCCAACTCCAAATTGGGAAACAAGTCGTCCAGGAATACCTGGCCGCTCTAAATGAGTTCAGGTCCCCAGGGCCAGATCAACAACACCCAAGAGTATTGAAGGAACTAGTGGAAGTCATTTCCGAACCATTGGCAATCACCTTTGAGGGTTCTTGGAGAACGGGAGAAGTTCCAGCAGATTGGAGGAGGGACAATGTGGTCCCAATCTTCAAGAAGGGAAAAAAGGATGACCCAAACAATTACCGTCTGGTCAGCCTCACGTCGATACCAGGCAAATTGTTAAGGAAGTGGTCTGCAAACACTTAGAAACAAATGCAGTCAACATGGATTTATCAAAAACAAGTCATGCCAGACTAATCTGATCTCTTTTTTCGATAGAGTTATAAGCTGGGTAGATGCGGGGGATGCCGTGGATGTAGCGTACCTGGATTTCAGTAAGGCCTTCGACAAGGTCCCCCATGACCTTCTGGCAAACAAACTAGTCCAATGTGGGCTAGGCAAAACTATGGTGAGGTGGATTTGTAATTGGTTAAATGGACCAACCGAGAGGGTGATTCTCCCCAATGCTTCTTCTTCATCCTGGAAAGAAGTGACGAGCGGAGTGCCACATGCAGGGTTCCCTCCTGGGCCCAGTCCTGTTCAACATCTTTATTAATGACTTAGATGAAGGGCTAGAAGGCAGGATCATCAAGTTTGCAGATGACACCAAATTGGGAGGGATAGCCAATACTCCAGAGGACAGGAGCAGGATTCAAAACGATCTTGACAGATTAGAGATCAGTGGCCAAAACTAACAAAATGAAGTTTGTTCAACAGTGACAAATGCAAGATACTCCACTTTGGCAGGAAAAACAAAATGCAAAGATACAGAATGGGGGACAATGCCTGGCTCGAGAGTAGTATGTGTGAAAAAGATCTTGGAGTCCTCTTGGACAAGTTAAACATGAGCCAACAATGTGATGTGGCGGCGAAAAGAGCCAATGAGATTTTGGCCTGCATCAATAGGAACATAGTGTCTAGATCTAGGGAAGTAACGCTACCCCTCTATTCTGTCTATTCTGTCTTGGTTTGACCACACCTGGAATATTGTGTCCAATTCTGGGCACCACAATTGAAGAGAGATATTGACAAGCTGTATCCAGAGGAGGGCGACTAAAATGCTGAAGGGTCTGGAGAACAAGCCCTATAAGGAGCTGGGCATGTTTAGCCTGAGGAAGAGAAGGCTGAGAGGAGACATGATAGCCATGTATAGATATGTGAGAGGAAGTCACACGGACGAAGGAGCAAGCTTGTTTTCTGCTTCCCTGGAGACTAGGACACAATAGAACAATGGCTTCAAACTACAAGAAAGGAGATTCCATCTGAAGGAGGAAGAACTTCCATCTGAAGGAGGAAGAACATGAGGAAGAACTTCCTGACTGTGAGAGCCGTTCAGCAGTGGAACTCTCTGCCCCTGAGTGTGGTGGAGGCTCCTTCTTTGGAAGCTTTTAAACAGAGGCTGGATGGCCATCTGTCAGGGGTGCTTTGAATGCAGTATTCCTGCTTCTGGATGGCCCATGAGGTCTCTTCCAACTCTAGGATTCTATGATTCTACTGGTAAACCAGAAGTTAAAACAACCCTTTGTAAGAAATAAGGACGCATGCTATCAGGATGGCTGTATCAGCCTTGGACTGGCTTCTCCTTTTCCCTGTCATAAAGAGGAGGAGGTTGGGGGGAGAGGGTGCTGGGAAGATAGATGGGGAATGCTGGATATTTTTTGGGAAATTGAAACTGCAGTAGAATAACTGGGGTGGGGCGGGGCATGTGAGAGATGAGAAGCTGGGTCTGATATATACGAGGTGTGTGAGCGGATGTCACAGTGAACAATAAAATGTTTGTCCACTTGAGCTGAAGATATGGGACCCAGCCCAGCCCATTATCGCCAGACACATTGAATTCCTTCTCAGTTGTACCCCTCTCCTGGGTGGATCAATAAATGGACTAACACTTCTACAATGATAGTTTATCAAATTTCCCGCCACTAAAAAAGACCAACCAGTTCAGCTTGGTGAGAAAGAGAAGCCAATATTCCAAAATAAATCTCACCAAGTTGAAGCAGAAGCCACCGATGTATTTATTAAATTTCAGCTGAAAGTGATGCCAACTTGCAGTAATCTGCCCCCAAAATAAGCTGAGATACATAACACAGTAAAACATGCACTTTTATTCATTTTTCAAGTTCATAATTCCCACCACCCCCAGCTAGACCTGGCTTGCTGTGGTTTGCCAAAACTGGATGAGGTCAGTGAGGTCTCCCTGCGAAGGTGGGAGTCTGGCATACCCCAGCAAATGTGAGAGTGCCGCCTGCCTTTGATGTAATGTCCAATGGTTGCAGAGGGGCTGGCAGGTCTTAGAACAATGGATGAAATGACTGACTCAAACTACAAGAAAGGAGATTCCATCTGAACATGAGGAAGAACTTCCTGACTGTGAGAGCCGTTCAGCAGTGGAACTCTCTGCCCCGGATTGTGGTGGAGGCTCCTTCTTTGGAAGCTTTTAAACAGAGGCTGGATGGCCATCTGTCGGGGGTGTTTTTAATGCAATATTCCTGCTTCTTGGCAGGGGGTTGGACTGGATGGCCCATGAGGTCTCTTCGAACTCTTCTATGATGGTGGGATTAAATATCCCTAATATGTGGGCACAATGACCCTGATGGGTCTCCCAATACTATTGTCTCTTTTGATTCCAGTTCCTGATTAAGCCCGATGGCCCAACCACCAGATTTCCTTGCAAATTGTCCATAGAAATGTCCAATAGCTGGGAATAACAAAGGGGGAGAACAGCCTTTCCAAAGGCAGTGGTGTGGTTATCCCTTGACTAGTTATCCTCATTCTGGGATGGCAAATGTTATGTATTGTCCAAGCAGTGACAAGGGGGAAGAGTGGACCATTTGGCTCCCGTTATCCCCTGAGCCACTTGTTTGTATAGGTTCCATTTAAGTAGCTGATGGCTCCAGTTAAATGCAAATGTAGCCTGGCAAGATGCTGGTAGATCTTCCCAGGACAAGAAAATGCGGGCAAGGGTCACTGCAAGACTTCAGCTGGTGACTTCTCCAATAATTTCATACAATGATAGAAAGCATAAACAAGATTATACATAAACACAGATGATGAGTGGCAGGGGTATCCAGTTCTGGAGGCCTTGTCCCCACAGGTCAGGGGGCAAACATACAGGTCAGGATCCTTAGGGACCTCGTGGGGCTCTGATCTCCCCCGCATCATCCATGGGGGAAGGGGAAAAAGCTGAAAGTATGGGAAATAGGAGAAGGAGAGACATAAACACAAGGGTCCTATGGGTTCTGGTGGGCCCATGGGCTCTGGGGAACATACAATGGGGATCAGTGGGTAGCTGCGGATCCCTGGGTTCCCATGGCCCAACCTGGCTTCAAACATCACAACTGGGATCAGCACCTTAGGGACAGGGGAATATGGATTATTTAATTATTGGATAGGAAAGAGCAAAGGAAAAAGGAAGCAAAATGGGGCTTGGGTTATTTTTGAAAGACTATTTGTGTGTGTTTTGGTAAAATATGTTCTAGCCCACTATCAGTAAAGGTGAGTCAAAGATTATACAGAAAAGCAAGAGTGGGCAGGAAAGATACTTTTTGAGATTTGAGAAAAAGGAGCAAGATTATAAAAATTTGCTTGGCATTCCCTTTTGCTAGCCTTAGACAAAAGGCCTTGGAATCCCTTTGTAGGTCATTGACTGGTATGGGACACAAGTTAACTTATGGCTCAGGCTGTTTGATTAGGTACAGCAAAGGTCACATGCCTTTTATACCATGGGTCCCAGTACCCATGTTATCTATACATATCTGCTATAAATATATAAAATACAGAATATAGAATATAGAACATTGGTCAAATGTACACAGATTTAACATGGGAAGGGGTTCTGGCTGTGGTTGGTGGTCCCTTTGCAGATTGGCCAAAACTTAAATCTTATTATATCATTCCAGCCTGGTGTCCTTGGCAAGACTACATATTCCCCGATTATAAAATATATTTTATGGGGGGGGGGGGGGTCCACCCATGACTACAC